TACAGTATGAATAATATAGGTATATGCGTATATAAAGCACAACATTTAAAATCCGAAATTGCTCCACTTTTGGTTTAAACACGCCGAATAGATGAGATGTCGAGTTTTAGACTATAAGTTTAATGATAAATTGATAATAATACTATGATTAAGTACGAGTATATCTACCTAATCCATCCACACGTTTTATTATTTTTTAAAGGTATTAATGACACTGTGATATGTGGAGATATAATTATTMAAAAAACAATTTAAAAAATATTATTAATTATTTACTTTAAGGAGATTCGATGCCGTTATTTTCTGTTCAACACYACTGTAACATACGATTTTAGACGTATTCTTAACCAAAATTACCGATTAATGTAATGAAGAGATAACAATTTTGAAAACATATTTAAATGTACAGTCAAGGCTCAAGACTATTTGAGATCAATGGTACGTTTCTAATATTATTCCCCAAATTCTTAAACATTTTATATTAAAAAAGAGTAATAAAAAAATTGTTATGTTTCAATTTTTGGAGAAGTTAATATCAATAATTATAAATGTGGGGGAGTCGATCTCAAGTAGATCTGATTACAAAATTCAATTATTTTCAGGATACTCTTACTGATTCAATATATCAATTAGCACGTTTGGAAAAAACATGGTTAAAATCCTATGTCACGCTTGTGTTAGACATATTGTCGAAGTGAATGTCATCACATATTCTCATTTAACATACAAACATCTGCATATGAATAAAAACTGCATTGGTGAACACACAAAACTACCATAATTTGTACTTCATACATCTGTACTCTTATTGTAACACAAAATTTCGAGCTCAATGTGTACACGGTAGAGAACAAAATACCTTGCTGGTATATGTCTATATAATTCACTTGCGTAAGAACTACAGAAATTTGAAACACTTAAAACACTCATGGCAAGTGGCAAGAACAGAGAGCAATAGCGAGAAATTCCTGTTTACTCAGGGACTATATCGATCAAACAAATATTARTTATTTATATTATGCGGCATCCTCCAGTTGYTTAGCGCAACACCAGCAGCTATAAAATCTTAAGACAAAACCAATGCTTTTGCTAACTGAATTTCTGATACGTTTCAATCACAGAATACTATTCTCCTACAGAAAAATATCTACTTAGTAAATAAATTCCTGGATTTACCATAACAAATGCCTATATTATCTTTCAAAGCAATACCTAATCAAACCTATCTACAAATTTATAAGAGTAGAAATACTCATTTAACTTGCAAAATATTAATCATCTTTCTAACATGCATAATTAACTCAATTCTCAGACCATTTTACTTTGTATACTCCAAAAGGATAATTGTACTGTCATATTAATACTTAAACCAACAAAATACACTCATTCGTGATTAATTTGTTAGCCACGAACATAACACTCATAACTCATAAATATAGTAACAGATTATGAAATAAAAATGTAACCTTCTATTTCATTATAAAATCACCGTGTTTCAAACAAATATAGAATATATTTCAGGGAGTTTCTTCTAATTGTAGATGGATCGGATAACTGATATATATTATTATTATTATAGGTGTGAACGATTGGTGCGAGGTGTAAAAAGATAAATATAGTTTATTTATATATATAGGTACCTATATTATACACCTAAGAATGGAGGGTGATTTTTCCTTTTCTCTTCCTTTCTCTTAATTAAAGTAATGAGATTAGACTAATCCGAGACATAACAGTGGCACAMTTGCAGGGTGGTGAGCYGGACGATGCTGCGGGGGGAATAAAATGTCTTAAGGCCTCCTCAAGGGCGGGACTTCGTAACTACACCCTAGAGTACTTCACGGCTACAGACTTAAATTAATTGCCTCGTAACTCCAACAAAGCGTCTCATCGTCGTAATTTTATTTCATAATAAAAATCGTAGACTTGTACAAAGGGTTTACTCTGTATATATATATATATATATATAGCAATATAGCTACTTTTCGAACACTTACTTTTTTTAAATTTTTTTTTTTATCTTACTATTTTTTATTTTTATTTATTTCGTCCCAACGATTAACAATAACTATACTTCTCATTTCAATAATGTATGCATATAATTACGACAGTAAATTAAATTTTTTATTTGTGGTTTAATAACCACATAAATTTCAAAATGAAATATGGAATAGTATACTTTTGGTAACTGCAATACATTTTCATTATTTACGTCACGTGCCAATGTGTCACATAATATTTTAAACAAAAATTGAATATTATTGTCGGTAAATAAATATTTATATCATAAACTTTAATATTGTATTTATTCGCTCTACCTTTTAGCACTATATCTTTATCTAGTCATTTTTAAATCAACATCATTAACTTATTATTTTTTTTTTTTTAAACAACACTTAAATACCTATATTCATTCAAATTTAAGTTGATTATATTAATATTTTTTCTAAACAGTTTTTCCCTAATTATACATACATTACGCGTTAATCTGAATAGAAAAACATTTTTTTTTTTTTTGGTAATATCTAAGTTGGTGTAACACTATTGCAAACGTTTTTTGTTCTTGGTAGCACGATTGGAATGATTGCCGTCAGATCAAAGAAATAATATTTTACATCACGGTTTTTTGAGTGACGTTATCGTTAATTTTAATTTTTCATATCGTTGTTTTTTTTTTGAAATAACCTATTAATCATAGGCGTGCGCACGGATCGAGCTAGATGAGCCATGGCCCATCCTGTAAACCGTACTGTGTTTATTACCTGATAAACTTTTATCATGAAACTTTAGTAGTACAATTATAAATTACAATTTTCATTGACAATAATCAATTAAATAAATTGAAAAATTGAATTGATAAAATATTTTTAAGTATCTAAATGATAATTGGTTTGGCCCACCCTTGTCAAAAAAGTCTAAGTAAACCTATGCTGTTAATTATCGAATAATAAATATATTTTACAAATAATTCAATTATTKAAATAGTTGACAAAAAACTTATATTTTAAGTTATAATATATTTAGTGTTTATAAAATTATGTAATTTATGAATAATTTATAGTTATTAACAAATTAATTAAATTAATTAATTTAAACCAATATAATAAATTAAATTATATATTACACGGTACTTACGGTATAATAAAATAAAACTCAATCATGCAAATTTTACTCAAATGATTCACAGTAGTTATTGTACTCCATTAAATGCAGGTACACTTATACTAAATACGATTTGAATGTAATCGATTTGATAGGCGGAACCCCAATTAATTTGTAAGACCCATTTAAGTAGCTGCAAATCACAGTGTAAAAATAGGGAGGAAGAAAATTTAGAAAGAGAGAGAGAGTAAACGAGGAAGATGGAAATGAATAATGAAATGAAGAAAACGATTACGTTAAGCTTTTAATAGCTATGTTGTGCGCTTGTTTAATTTGCCAAATGGTATTAAATGCACATATTCGAATCATTTTTTTTTTTTTTATCTCAAACCCCTCTAGTACTGGTACTTAAAACTTTAAGCTACGAAAAAAGTCATAATAAAAGCGGTAATCAATTAGTATTATTGGCAAATTAACAGAATAATTGTTAGAATATAAAGTACCTATCTACTGCAAATCGAACACTATACGTAATTATATTATAATCATTATATTTTAGTTATTTTCTAATGTACAAAACAAGAAGTGTAGTTCCATTTTAATGCACATTAATATATAAGTAATGAAACAGCCATTTAAGCAAATGTGTTTAATGGTTTTATTTTTTTGGAAGACATTATCATTTTCATATATTATAGTTATTTGCACATATCAATATATACCATTTGCACACTGTACAAAGTTTACTTACTTTATCCTTAATCTTATACAATTATATGGCTTAGAATTTCTAATTATATATGTCTATATAGTTTATCACATATTTCTATTAATCTATAAGGACTATCGTAAAAAGTACATTTTATTTTACTTTTCACATTTCACAAACAGCATAAAAATATTAAGTTATCAATAACTCAATGTAGTTATTAATTATAGGTACAATATTAAATATATGTGTGTATAGGTACCTACTTAGTACATATTGTCCAATTGTTTGAATGTGTATTACACCTACCTATAATGTACATAATAATGTTTCTCTTGATGAGCATATTCATATATATTTAATTAAATAATGAATACAAAACTTTGAATCTAATTCATCCTTAAAATGGTTACAACAATATTAATTTATTCAGTTAAATAATTTGTCTTACTAAATTATTCTTAACTCACCATTCTGTTATTTATCTTGTAGCGAAATTCCTGCGAATTAAATTTGTTGCAAAACAGTACAATTAAATTTTAACCTTTAAAAATGTATAAGTAATTGAATCAAATAATTCTTTATAACAAGAAACCAGATATATATGCATGTATACGATTAAAATAGGTTTAGCTTGTATAATTTTATAAATTATACAACCAATAAAATAACTGAAATACAAAAAATTAGTACCTAAATGACTTATCTCGAATTAAAAATGTAAACATATTTTGATATAATGATCCTTTTATGTATAATATGACAACTACATAACAGAAAGATAGTTTAAAAATCTTGAAATACATTGATAATATTACTTCAATATTCTAATCACCTTATGTATTATAGGTAGGTAAATACAAAAGCACGTGGCACATTATTTGTTTTATTTATCCGTCATTTAACAGAGTATACGAAAAAATGCATGAATATACTTACATAGTTATATACTACAGCTGTAAAGTATATAAAAATACGTTAACATTGTCTAGATAGAACTTTAAAAAAAGTCAACTTGTAAGGCAAAAAAAAGAAATTAAATATTAAGAATTGTTGTCCTTAATAAACTACAGTTGGTTGTTATTTTGGGTCGACACATAATATAATGTTATCTAAGTATATGACATATAATTTTAATTGTATGTTTTATATGGAGTTTCTTATTTTAAATATTTTGTTAACATTTTAGATTTCAAAGAGCCTAAAGAAGACGGCGTTGAAGACTACCGTCAAACATTCGATGGTTCAAAAAACAATAACAATAAACAATTAAATGGTCCGTCCAATAAGCAGAGACGAAGTAGGACTAACTTCACTCTTGAACAGCTCAACGAACTCGAAAGACTTTTTGATGAAACCCACTACCCCGATGCATTTATGAGAGAAGAGCTTAGTCAGCGTCTTGGTCTCAGTGAGGCCAGAGTACAAGTTAGTTCTATTCTACAAGTTAGACCAAAATAACTGTAAAATATCATAGAAACCATTAAAATACCAACCTATGATATTTTTAAAAGAAATTATTCAAGCAATAGGGCAAGTATAACAATTATTWACAAAAGTTGGATTTCAAACAGCGCTAGTATACATTGATCTTATATTTGAATATAAAACTTTATAGTTTAACTTTCTGATGTTTAATTAAACCATATTAAATCACGGATAATTATACTATTTTATTTTAAAAAAATGTAAATGTAATAAAAATTCAAAAAAATTTTAGGTATGGTTTCAAAACAGACGGGCCAAATGTCGAAAGCACGAAAGTCAAATGCATAAAGGTATGATTTTATTTTTATTTTTAATGCAATATAATTCAATCAAATAATATGTTTGTATATACTATATATGTATATAGTCGTTTATTCAGAATGATGTAACTGTAATCACGAGAACATTTAAGTACTTACCAGAGTTAATACTTAATTCAAACTATATATTTTATATTATATTACCTATACACATTAAAGAAATAGGTACATCAAAAAATGATTATATAGAAATCTTAAAAAACGTATAATTTTAAGAAAATTATTTCCTATATTATTTACTCCTAAATTTAAATAAAAATAAATTTTTATTGTAAAAAAGGGTTGTATTATACAATAATTAAATTTGTTCTCAATGGACTATCTAAATATAACCTAAATATAAATACTTTGTATTGTATTATGCTTTTAAAAAATATACATATTATTATACTATTTGAGAAAAATCTTAAATAATTTTTTAATTAAAAACTGTTCTAAACTATATAGAATTAAGTATGTATACCATCTATAATATACCCTTGATATATAAACTTAATTAATTAATAATTTACAAAMAATTATTTCTTTACTTAAAAAGTAATTTATATGGGCTATGAACTAATTTTTTTTTTATATAATATGTGTATCAGAAAGGTAACAAAATAAAATATGTTTAAATTACACAATAAAAGTTTTAAGTATATTTTTTTAAACGAAAAAAAAATGTTTTAGAAAGGTTTCCTGCTACTCTAAAATAAAAGGGAGAAAATCATTATTTTCGAATTATACCTAATAACAATAATCTGTTTTTTTTAAATAGTAACGTGTGATATAATATTATAGTGTTACTTTTTTTCATTGGACTACTTTAAGATGGCGATATTGAAATATGAGTACTTAATTTTGAAAACCACCTGTGTAATAATAATATTTTTTTATCACAAAAAAAAATACATTATAATACTGTTCCAATGATAAAATAATTAAATAACTATGTAAAAACGTAGTAATTGTAATTTCATCTTGTTAGCTGTACGTAATATATAAAGCATAAGCTTATTATATTTAAAGAATTATGATGAACTAGCTGGATTTCATTTTTATTCTATTATTAATAATACATATTTTTGGCAATACACTAATACAACGAGAGAAATCAATGCAGTTAAGTAACGTAGCAGTGGTTATTGTAGATAGATGTACATATTTTAATATACACAGTCACTGTGGAATAAAAATCGCACTTGTCATTTAGAAATGAAAAAAAAAGATAATTTCATTTTAATGTCCGACGGGGGATGGTATAATATTCGCCGACCCACGCGCACACTTGCATATAATATATAATAATATAATCGTATACAAATGCGATTAACGTACCGCAACACATTTTATGGTCGGTCATTAATATTAATAATGTAAGTATAATTTTTTTTTCGGGCGCATAAAACAACAACGAACGAATTGTATTAAATCTAAGCGGGGCCAAAGGTTTATCCGATAAACTGGGTGACTATTGTCCCGACGATAATATATACATATATTTAATATTATATAATTATAATATCTACAGGGGCACGCTTAGAACTTGCAAATGTAATATAAATTTAAATGTAATTTACTAATATAATATTGTTATATAGTTTTTGTGAAATCCGTTATCAAATAAAGTTTATTGGATACAAATATTTGTTTAGATCTCGTGCGCGGCATAATAAATGAATACATTTTTTACAGATATTGACTTTTATAAACGTGTTTACAGTTTTTTGAATCAGCGTGTATAATATAGAATATCAATGTTTTATTGTATCATCATGGCCTTCGACGTTAATATCTAAAACCGAAATAAAATAAAATTAAGATTTACAATTACACMATTATTACAAAACAAAGGAAAAAATCTTTATCGTTTTTAGATTTACTATAGTCAGCTGTTTATTTTCAGTATAAATCGCTTGCCATTTTTTTATAAATTAATATTTATTRCTTGCACGCTTAATACTTAGTGTTTAGTAGGTAGATACATGTAAAATAAAAATAAACCAAGTTAGTTTAGGTTCATCTGAAATATTGTATTTGTCTGCAGTYTTATTCACTGCGCTTGTAGCGTTGCCGATCCCAATGCGAAAACATGAAAATGACAACCACTCTGCAGTATAATATTKTAAATATAAAAAAAAAATTGATTCTTAATTATGTCATCCTCATTTCTAGTCGTGGTTAATGTAGTGTTAAAGTCATTTACGCGCTGTACGCCTATATACAACTCTGGGCTTACATACTATAAACATGGGAATGTCGCAGATGTTAGATGTATTTTACTTATACCTGTTGTACAACAGAGCAGACGATATTATAGTCCTATAAKAAGTCAACTATTACGAGTAGGTAGATTAGATTTTTTAGTTGAAAACCAAATTCAATTGTTTTGTGTTGGTATTTAAAAAAAATGTTCTAGGGATTCTTGCTCTGCACTGTTAACGATGTAACATTATAAACGGCTCTCGCTATCAACAAAATTTTAACTGACATGATTTTTTGTTTGCATGTTTCTTAAGCAAAGAATATGTTTGTTTAATAATACGATTATACTCATATTTTTATGTTAAAAATATAAATAATATAGTAAAAAATATCCAAAATAATGCATTTATCTCAAATGATAATTTATTGAGAAATAGAGGATAAATTATACTCAAAATAATTTTTTGAATTCAGTTATAATTGACTATAATAAAAACACCTTTAATTTATAAAAATAAGGTACACCGAGCTATTATATTAGTACAATCATTTCCTTATGTAATTTTTCACTGCCGTTCATCAACCAAGCGTATCATAATTGCAAATATATTTTTCGATAATACTGGCATTTGAAAATCATTTGTGAATTAACACTGTTCCATTTTAAGTTGTACGAATCGTAAAATACTATGACATAATATAAATATAATCAGTTATCAGTTATCACCCATCATCATTCAGCTGACTAACAAAAGTTAAAAAGTTGTGAAAAATCATCACATTTTTATATCGAACTACAGTTGTACATCGAAACAGTATACGATCAAAACAATAGGTAATAAATATTATATACCCTTACACGGGTCTAGAACATAAGTACACTTTACAGGCATTATTGGACGACTGCAGTGTGGCGTGTGTACGCTATGCATTCACGCATCACGCAACTAGACGGTCAATAATAAATTATTATCAGTGCACCGATTGTGACAATAACAATAATAATAATAATAAGGGCGCGGGCGCGAGCGCATATATACACGCATATGGGATGTTTTGCACGAATCACGGAGGGATTACAAATAATCTGGACCTGTACATAATAACACATATATACAGTCGTCGCTTAATCAAGTTAAGTGTGTGTGCGGCGCAACGAGTGATTGTCACCCGATTGCACCCCAGTGAGCGATTAGGAGAACTGTTCTTCTGCAGCGAACCGTCACTCTCTCTCTCACTCTCTCTTCGTCTGTGCTCCTCGCTAAACGGTATACACACAATAATATATATAAATATTCGCAGGCTCTGGGTTGGGGTGAACCTAACCTGCTCCTCCGGGGAGGGGATTTGTTTGTTTGTTGGTTTTTTTTTCTTTCGCTAATTCGATTTCGATTCCTCCTCGCTGTCCATTCGTATGTGCACTTGCAGCGCTAGCAGCACCGTTATCACGACGACGACGACGACGACGACTGTTCTACATATATTATACGTTGATATAGTGATATATATATATGATATAATATAAATAGCTGAAATAGATAGCTGTAAAAGACATGTTTTTACGCAGGAGACGTTTTGCGGATTCAACATTATATTACTATAATATACATATAATTACACACGTATCATATCGTAAAGTCTGTATACGAAYTATTGTCATCTCATCCGTTTTCATATGACGTTTTCATTACTCGTTTGTACATTTATAATTTAACTACTATGCCTATACTTGCAGTACCTACTATCTAATGTATTCTTCTGATAACTTAAATAGTATAAAAGAAAGTACAATTTCTGATACTTGGTGACATTTCATTTGTACATGTCATCAAACAATTTTCAGTCGGTGCCAGTTATATCCATATTACTTTCTACAATATAATTTGTCAAAGACCGACATAGTCTAAGTGTAATAAAAGTATATAATGTAACTGACTATCTATTATGTATTTTATATTATWATATTATATTATAACCCCCAAATTAATATTTAATATTTTCTCAACAAGGAACTCTATGATGTATTTTTATGCAGGTTTAATGATGCACCAGAACGTATCTACCCCTCTAGAGCCGTGTCGAGTAGCCCCGTACGTAAACGTGCCAAGACTACCACAGTTGCAATTCAATTCTTCGGCTGCAGCTGCGGCTGCGTTTTCTGCGTTTGATCCAGCCATCTTGACTGCTGCACAACAGGTAATTGTTAGTGTATTATCGATTACATTTAATATTTAAAACAAATAACTTGTTAAGAAAAATACAAAAATTCAACGTATTGTGTAAAATATGTAAAGGTTCACAGAAATTGTGTGAATCTTGTATACCAAACAGCAAAATATATTGTATTATTTGTATTTTGAAGTCAGAAAGAAATATATATTTATTGCAGTTGCATTATGCAGTGGCCATGGGAAGAGGTGTTCTGTGCCCTGCGCCATATCCTCCGGGTGGTCTGAGTCTAGCTGCTCTTGCAGCATTACATCAAGATAGACTGTTAACCAAAAATTCCAGTATAGCTGATTTGCGGTTGAAAGCTAAAAAACACGCCGAAGCCATTAGTAGAGACCAAGAAATTGTTTAACATTAGGCACGCTTTTTGTTTCGTTATGTATTATTATAATTATTTTTTTTTATATACATTTTATAATACTTTCATGCAACTTCCATACATCGTATCACACCTACGGTGAGAAAGGTGACACAGTTCAAAAAATGCCAATCTCAAATCTGTAAATAATTAAGCTGTTAATAAATACGCATGATATACCCTGCGTGCACGAAAAACGTACCTAATCTTATCGCCTCAAACTTTAAATTTTTCCACCATTGAGTAAAGTTTTTTCAGTTATACTTTTAGACGAATTCACAGTGATCACGGCGAGATCAGTGTCACATAAGTACACTGCGTTGGTCAAGAAAAATTACGCATTTCAAGTGGTGGCCAATGTTATAATTTTTGTTTATAAAGTTACATATAAATATTATTTAGGAATCATAACAACAAACAATGGTCTTAGAAAAGCAAGAAAGTCATACTTACGTACAATAACTACTTTTGACTTTCACGTTTTGTTCTGAAAAGTTCCGTAACATAATATTCAATAAGGTTTGATTTTCAAATTCATAATACTCTTTTAAAATAATAATTCATTGCAATGTTTTACAATTTATTGTCAAAAATACTTATCTAAGACTTACAAGAAGCTTCTGATATTTCAATGTAAGTTGTACATAATGTACCAATACATTTCATTAATTTGATTTTTTGAAAATCCCATTTTTTGAATTGTGTATCTTTCTTGTTGAGATGCGAATTATTCATATGATATTAATATGTTTTAGTTATATAAGCATGAATATATTTAATGGAATATTTAGGTTTAAAACTCCAGTTTGTAATTTAAACTTTTTTTCATATGACTTACTATGAACACCTACATAATATCTAATAGGTACCTATATAATAATAATTATAATATTTTTTGTTCTCGTCGTCCTATGTTATAAAATACAATAATTAAAATATATTATATAATATGTAATAATGAACATTGCACCTATTACCCTACCGATACTTAATGATCATAATATCTTTAATTTACAACCATTTACATGTTTATTATTATTTATAATATTATTATTATTATTATACGCTGTATGGTCAATGTGGCTATATATACTTGCATTGACGTGTTATTACTGTTATATTAAATTGTATACGATAATACATGGTGATTTAATAGTACGTTTAAAATACATTTAACGCTTTCCTATACATTCCGATTTCAAATTATTGTTATAAACGTACAACAATAAAAATATTTTAGACTTCAACTCGTATCTATTGCTGTACCTAGCTAGMATTGCCAAATCGCCACAGATAAATCTTACAAATTCAATTTACAAATTAAACTTATGAAACTATAAGTAATATTTAAAAAAAGTTCAATGTACGTATTATACTCAAGATAGTAAATATAGAGTAACTCAAGTATATAAATGTTAAGTATAAGTCCCATCGGTATAATATTTTTACTCGTTGAATAATGTACAGTGTTTTCTTGTAAAACAAGAAACTTTTATGATTAAGATTTGTATACAAATATATTCTATACTTGTATGAATTGTAGATTAAAAACTTACATTTGTGGCTGTTTTAAGTAGTATTAAAATTATAGTAATAATGTGGAAGATTAATTTAATATATTTATTTTTGTTACTCTTATAATTTGTCTTAAAAATATAACATTTTAATTTTAACTTTAATTTTGTACGMAAAATAAATCCATTTAAACTCGAAGAAATAGTTTCAAAAATACACGTTAAAATATTTTATCATATTATTATAGTTCATGATTRTAATTTTTAATGCATGTGACGTGAATAATATTATCTATTGTTGTATGTTCCAATCAAAGTTTTACCAAATATTAATAAATACTAAATAGGTAATTATGTGGCCAACTTGCTTTTCTGTATCATTTGATCGAACGAATGCGTGTTACCTAATAACTTTAATAAAGAAATCGATCAGAGTAATAGAATAGATATGTGTAATATATTATATATGTATATCGTTTATGTACTTGCGCAATAATAATAAGGAGTCGAGTTATCAACGAATCCAACAAATTTAAAATGTGCTAAAAACTAGAAAGAAAATTCCACATATTACCTATTATATCTATGACTAAATGACTTATCATTTCATCTTATATAGTTTTTTTTTTTTTGTAAAATCTCACTATTTTTATTATTAATTATTATGACAATGATTACTATTATATGTAACCATATTTTTATTATTATTATTATCATCATTGATTTTATATTATTACAGTTATTACAGTTACTCGTGTTGAGTGTTTTATTATACGTTTTACTCATTTGTAGATGGTTGTGATGTTTTGTTTGTAATTAAAACTATTTTACCAAGTGAAATAACATGACTTACATACAATGCATCCTAATTGATGAGACTGTATGTTATAAAATGTATAGTGCATAATATAAATGTAGAATATATGTCATGTATTACGAATTTATATATATTGTGTCAAACGAAAACGATACTATGTGCTGATGCAGGTAATGGCGCAATAGTGCGGTGTACTCATGGGTTTCATATAGAAGTACCATTGTACCAATACATAATATTATCATGTATTAAAATATAATTTAATATTATTATAATCGTTTGCCCGCCTTCAATTGGTCAAGTGTTTCACGGTATTTTAAAGTATTGATATCTCAAGTGAGTAGTGACTTATACAGTCTTTAATAGGATGTTTCAAACTGCATTTAGCACTGTATGGTGAATTGGTGASTGACAAAAATACATAAAAGTGTCACCTGACAACTGATAACTGGCACCATCATTTACCTACAATGTGACTGTTGGTGAYCTTTTTTYGTAAGTTGTTTAGCGATGACATCGAAATTAAGCAATTTCGTTTAAATATGTTCAAGTTAAATTCATTTCTWACAAAATACTTGCAGATTCAGTTTATTAGTTCTATTGACGATATTTTCAACGAAAGAATCTCATCTCTTCAATTTCCTCGGTAGAAAAAGAAGTGATGTAGATGATGAATAGCCGCTTTGATTGGATGGGCGTTACTATAGGTATGAATGTGTAGAATGACTGATCTGATTCTGTTAAATATAGTCATATATGGATATTCCGTAGGTTTTTTCTTATTTTTGTCGTTGAGTAATTTTTAGGTAATCTTTTGAGATTGCAAACATAAACCCGTCTAGTCCCGATATTAAGAATTATAATTTGGAAATAATATGATTCAAATTAAATATCTTTGCAAATAATATTACTTTATGTACCTATACTACATTATGAATTATGATCAGTTCTATGTCGGATCATAAATACACATCGCTATCATCGTTGTATGATAATCGTAACAGACATGCAATTACTCGGAAAAACAAACCTGTACCGCTTGTAGCTACTACCTATGCAATATACATGATGTTATAAAAATGTATCTAAAATTGAATCATGCTTCGTATATTCATCAATCAAAACGATTTTTATCGTTATCCTCGTCTTCCCCGAAGCTGAACAATGTCATCCTCGTTGTCCCCGAAGCTAAACAATATAAAAGCAAACATTATGTTTCTCTAGCCCGATATGTGCATCTCTCAACAATAGTTTCGCTACCTGACTGATGTATTTAGATCTCTCCTGGTCACAAATTTGCCTCCTAAGTCCTAGTTATCAAAGAGAGACTATAGTCGACCCGAACTCTCCATCGACRAAAAACGGTGGCTTTCAAATGATTTTGAAATGGTTTCCATCTATATATAACGAAGAAATTGATGCGTATAAACGATGCAACAGAACTGACTACCATCATTTATTACATAGRTAATATTATTTGCAAATGTATTTAAATTTAAATTATATAATATTATTTCCAAATTATTGGTGTTATATTATATTTCCATAATATTCGATTGTAGTCGTGTGAACCTATATAATAATGAGTAACTCAAAGCTCAATCTCGAGAARAAACAAGGAGTTTATTCATATTTCATACTACAGTAGACAGGCAGTTGTGTATGGAGACATCCTGCTGTATATATCCTTCTGGTACGCGTGTGCGTCGTTGGCGTTAAAAAAATATAATATCTTGCGTACGAGCACGATGTACTATATGTACACACGATGTGTGTGTGTGTGTGTATATGCATATTGTATATTCGTGAATGTATGCGCAGACTTAACGGCGTTTTAATTCAATCTGGGAATAGCAATAGTGGATAGCTCGCCCCCCCCCCATCAGTATAAATCGCGTTCTCTGGCCTCTTGCGTGATATATGGCCGGCGTGGGAATCACTGCTGCTGTACGCTGCGCACCGCCGTCTGAATATTCAAAAACACCCCCGCCCAAACGATTTTCCTAAGCGCAGTCTCGACCCAACCCCAAATACGCACCCACCAGTCACGCCGACGGAAATATGCAAAATGGTATTGAAAATTCGGACGTTATAAAACTCATACATACGATGTATACCCCTATATATGTATATATATATACATAAGGACGTGCATGTAATAAATAATAATATATTATAATGTGCGCGTGGATGAAATCATAAAATAATATATAGGTACGCAGTATAATATTATGGACAGTGATAATTCCATGTTAGGTGGTAAATACTTAAAATTAGAATCAATATGCTCTTAATATATTAGGTAGTTATGACGTTTAAATATATGGTTATAACTTATAAATAATCATAATAATATAGTAAAATATGAATAGCTAATTGTTCAATATAAAATTATCAGGTACCTATTTATTTAAGCATCTACTATTTTATTATTTTTTATGTTAGAAAATTTTAAATGCATTATCATAAAAGAACAAAAGAATAAAGAGGGTGAGTGGGTAACGTTGACAACTGTATATTAAGGGTCTAGAGAGGCATTGTAATGGATTCATCAATTATATAAAACGATTGTAAGAAAACAAAATTCGATCCTAGGCCTGTCAGCCTATATATTACTAAAAAGTTAAAAGGTATAATTTAAGTTATTATAATTAAAGTAATTTATTTTACCATACCTATATAGGCATTCATACTATAATTGGTTTAAWAATATTAATTCATTTTTGTAGAAAAAATTGGATTTGAAAATATGAACAAAATATAATAATAAAACATTAATACCTACTCTAATCTCATGTTTCAAATACCCACGAATAATAAAACATTTTTAATTACAAAAAAATGACTAATATTCTTATTCTTGGTTTGTAATATCATACAAATTTAAACTTAAAATAACTATAGAAAAATTATATTTATATATTTTTTAAATTTTTTGTCTACAGAATTAACTACTGTTAAAATAAATCAGAAGTCTTGTAATGAATTTTAAAGCTTTTTGAACAAACAAACAAATTTTATTGAAATTTATAGAAGAAAACTAAAAAAAAAATGTCAAATGCCCATCGGCAACTCCAAACTAGTGTAGGAAATGATAAAACAAATATTTTGTGTAAATTTCAGATACCTACGGTACTAAATATCGGATTCAAACAATAATAGGACTAAATTGATTAAACCATTAATATATTAATTATTTTATATATTATTGATAAATCTATACTACTTACTATAGTTACTTTGATTTTTAGATAACTATGTATTAGGAAATCAGTAACGATTTATGTTGCATAGAATTATAAAAATTAAGCGTTCTCAATCGTAGTATGTAATAGTCAAAAAGGTGCCKATGATAATGACTGTTTTCAATAATTGTATTTCTAGTTACAAATTGACGTAACCATTTGGACGTAATAGTCTAGGACAATAAAACGTAAAAAAATTCTCTTTAAAAAGTTCTTCTAATATTTAAACACCATCTTAATCAATAATAAATAAATAACTTTMAAAAGATAATTAAA